TTTAAGTGAAACAGCTCTGAAAGGCTCTTAGTGGAGATTACCCCAGGTACTAAAAATAGTCATTTCTGCCCAATACACACACACACACAAACACACAAAACAGAAAGCAATGATAGTGTTGTGTCTGGCCAGAAAAGACCTCTATCTGATCTTCGTATAGGGTGTCTCAATTACACAAAAGATACACATGCACACAAACACATCGGTGGCTCCAGTGTGATGAGAGAGATGGGTATCCACAGGGGGCAGGGGATCAGCTGGGGCAGGAACACCAAACCATGCTTCAATCAGCAGCAGCGGCCCACTGGGAATGGGGCTTGGTGTGTGTGTGTGTGTGTGTGTGTGTGTGCGTGTGTGTGTGTGTGAGAGAGAGAGAGCGGGGGAAAGAGGCAGACATGCAGTCAAGAAGCCAGCACCAGACCAAAGGATGTTCCCTTGCTCTTTTTCAAAACATTCCCTGAGGGGACCCCTTTTTTTTCCTTTTTTTGGGCTATATCCGCCTGCTCGCTTTATTTTTTTCCCTGCTCGCTCCCTTCCAGCGTTTCTCTCCAGAAGCGATTGTCGGAGGCCAGAATATATTTGTTTTGCGAATGCAGCTTCAACTTCCCATCAGCCAGGAACAAATGCTTTGCCTTGGGAGCGGAAAAAAGACAGAGGGATGGAGGGCGGCAGAGCGAGGGGGTGGATGGCCCACAGTGTTGCAGGGCAGCGGGTTGAGAGCTCTTGTTGTGGAGTGGATCTGACAGACGCTCCGAGATGACACAGGCACGGACAGCCCTAGTCTGAATCTCTCTACTATACGTCTGCGCCTACTCGTCTGCGCTGCCTCCCATTTGTTTATCTTGAGACAGCGTAGCCGCGGGTCTGAAAGCGCGGTTTGCCTTCAGTTTGACAGTGACGGAGGATTTCTTCCATCAGACAGTGCAAATAACGCATCAGCACGGTGAAAACGGGAGGGAACTGGAGATGAGGAAACCGCGGCGTATTCTAATAAGACTCACTTGAGAAAATCGTATTATACAGCGGGGTATGATAATTCATACACCCTTTGCTGGAGCGGTGAACTGGTGCGGGTGGTGTGCTCTCAAATGTCAGCATAAATTTGCAAAATAAACGCAACCGCCATTCAGCAGGGAGTAAGAACAGGGACGTCTCTGCCGTCTGCGCTTGTGTGTGTGTGTGTGTGTGTGTGTGTGTGTGTGTGTGGGCATGACAATGACTTGTTACGCACTCCTGTCTCAGCTCGCAGGCCCGCCAACAAGTTTGTGTGCTCCTTTAAGCTTCCATGTGTTTTGCAGGGAAGGAAGAAAAAATACATTTAATCACAACATGTTTTATCAAAGCCTACTAAAGATGCCCCGATCAAACTAATCTGCCTTTACTTAAACATAAGCGCCTGAGCATCTGTCCAAAAACGCTCAAACAAGCCAGACAAATCAAGGTGACGCCTTGCAAAGTCGGACGCCAAAACACACACAGCGCGTCCCGGTGGGAGTCACATGGCCCAAATGTGTGCGCTCACATGCGTTGCAATATCTGGGTAAAGCCTTAAGCCCTGGTATCTTATTTTACTACCCGCAAAGCCCACAACCTTTTACTTCCAATCAGCGGGCTTTCATTTGGGCTGGCACCAGTCCAAGCTGTTACTGGTCTCTACATTTGTCTCTTTCACCGCCCATCTGTCCCTGTGTCTGTTATGTCATCTGTTGGCCTTTTCTGTCCATCACTGCGCCTCCCTTTGTTTGGCTTTTATCTATCTGCCCCTGTTCCTTTGTCCCACCTGTCCATCTATCGTCAGTGTATCACAAAACAGGACAGGTACGGCGGCGATAAAATCTCAGAGGGTGAACCCGGCGGCGATGGTCTTGCATAATCACTTGGACGCGTTCATCCGTATACGAGCGATGTGGCCGTGGCGCATCCCGGTGCGGCCGCTTGCCGAGGTCGTCCACGCCGGAATGAGACTAAGTTAAAACCAACGGGATGCCGTTCCGTCACTCAAGCAAAGTTTGACATGAAGGTGCCGCGGTTAAAAGGACTTCGGGTCACACTTCTATGGCATTATCTTTGGCAGTACATTGGGAACCTATCGGGAGTAACCACCCCTTAACAACTGCAGCCCAAAATAGACTGTGGACTTTCACGGTCGGCCCGTTTTGAAGAGGTGTCAAACACACTGCGCCAGGAGCGACAGCTTTTATGTGGATGTGTCAGTTACAAGGGGCGGAGGGGGTCTATCATTCTCCACATTTCTTGTCGGGGACAGTTGGGCCAGTGGCAGGGAATGGAGCTAAAGGCCAGCGGTGGGACGGCCTGTGATCTCAGAACAGAACGTGCACATGCAAACACTTGACGGTGTGACCAATGTACCTCGACCCCGACACCTCCTCCATTAACAAATTAGACTCAAGTCTTTATTACGTTACCGGTCCCTGCGTTTCAACCAAGACACAAGCACAAAGCTCTATGTACTTATTTCCTACACGCCTGTCACACGGAACTGAGACCTGAATCAAAGCCCCAGTTAAAAAAAACAATAGGTGTTTGTCTTTCCTTCTGAGCTGCAAATCATTTCAACAGTTGACTTACTTGAACTAATGAAAGCAGGTTCAAACTTCCAAGGAGCATGTTGTTTGATGGGGACTTTTTATAAGAGGGGCCCCAGCGTGACAGCTGCACCCAGCTGTTACACATGTAACTAAGCGCAGCCTTGATCACGGGCAACTGGATTTTTCTCATGTCATGCAGATTTGTGAAGTTGATGGATACGTTTGAGACGAAGGGAAAACGGCAGAGAACGATGAGGCGGTTATTCGGCCTGGTTATTAACATTACTCAAACTTTTGATTGGTTGCTTCTCTGCCCTGTGTGT